TACTTATATTTGTCTCTTATTTCATAGTTTAATTCATGTAAAGCACATTGAATTATCTTTGTACTGAATTGTGCTATAGAAATAAGTCCGATGTATAATAATAATAATATATAAACATCTAACTTGGCCTAAAAAGTAAGTTTAGGGTTGTCTTAAAAAAGGACCCTCTGCTCTATGTGTTGTAAACTACAAAACTATAGTTTCAGTCAATTCTATCTTTATTTTTCCATCGTAAAAAAATATGTTGTGTCTGAAGATATTAAGGAGCTTATTCAAAATATGTGACAGATAAATTGTTGAATTCCCTAACAAAGCCTTTGCAATAAACAGTAAAAGGTGAATATTGCTCCTCTGATTCGACTAAATCCATCCTATAGATTTGTGGAAGATGTGGAGCTCAGTGCATCTAAATATACAGTCTTGTCTCCTCAGTAGAGGATGAGGTGTTTGTATTATTCACCATCTCTTAAAACAAAATTATTTTGAAATGTAGAAGAAATATGGTTTATTTAACAAATGGTTGGAAAAAACATGCAAAGCCCTAGAATTTTAAGGGGGCACCATTTTTTTTTTTTTTTTTTTTTACCGTGACGGTACTGCTGTTGACAGCTGCTACCCTGCGTAATGATTGGACTGTACAGTTGAGCACCTCCAATAAAAATGAGCCGCCAGAAGACAGCTGTGCTCCAGTATGGATCTCCCACTGTTGCGTGAAATAGAAATTACTGCTTTGTTGTGCTGCAATCTGGTAATCTAAGAGCTTGTCTGTCACCAAGATTATAAGGCTGTTTTCTGTTATGTTTTTGGAATGTTATGAAAAAAAGGGGAAGATTCAGTCATTTTTTCCCCCTGTTATTTATAAAAAACAGAACCATATTTTTTTGTCAAGGACACCTTATATATATATTACGGCTCAGCATAATACTGAAGTGAAACTGCTTAGTGGTTGCCTTAAAAGTAGAAATAGGAACTTGTTAGATCATGTGTTAAAACTTCATAATTGCAAATGTTTTTGCACCGTTTTAATAAAAAAAAAAAAAAAAACAACCCAGAATGACCTGAGTTTAGAGCATGTAGAAATATTAGCGGTGTGCTTATATGACACATAGAAAACTATACATGGTAGCTCCCAGTGTTATTATTCAGTAATAGCTTTCTAAGTCCAGATAATCGGTGTGAATCACTAATAGGTTTTCTCTTGCTGATAAACCAACCCTGCTTGATCCTTCCTATAAAGCTTCTCTCTAACCTGTCTGCTGTGTTTTATTTGCTCAATGCTTTATATCAGTTTTTATCATGTCTTTATCTTTGATCATGTTTTTATCTCTAATTGCTTTTATTTTCCTTATATTTTGTTGTTTAATTCATGTAAATAACTTTGTGTCGTCTTTGTACTGAATTGCGCTATACAAATACACTTACCTTGCCTGATTAAAACAAAAGATCGACTTGATCTAAATTTGAATGTCACTGTTAGATGGCGGTGACTGGGTCCAGCTTCTTACTGACCAGCGGTCTTAGTTTGGGAAAACTGTTAAAGAAATTGGTGTTGCCTGATGCAAAATATATCCTGAGAGATATATCTAACTATCTACACTTGTTGTTTGCCCAATATTTGTCATTTTCCTTATTTGCACTTTCAATTACATTGTAGTCTAATTTTGTTTATACTTCTGTTAGCGTAAAAATATCCTAGATTTTTTTTTCTTCTTTCAATTTAGGTTTTGTTTTTTATTTATTTATTTTTTGTTGCTCATAAGTAATGGGGAAAATATGAGACAAAATAGGATGTGGATATTTAATTTACATCTTATGGAAACTAAGGCCTCATCGACCCAGAGATGAGATCAGGTGTAACAACAAAGGGATTCTGTTATTTAGATTGTGCATCCAAACGGAGACAATATGATCATGTTTAACAGTCCAAGGGTGGAAAAAAAAAAAAAAAAAGGCTGGTTTGATTTCAGTGTGGAACATTTGAGCTTAAACTTTTTTTTAATGACGACGATGTACCTCTATTACCCTTATGTTCTTTACGGCCATATTGCGATGTTGTCTTTGCATAGCCAGTGTTTTTTCGTCAGCAGTTTTGATGCAATTCTGCGTCTGCCTCACAGCGCCACCGAAGGGCCCAGCATATGTACTGCAGCGTCTTGTACACTTGTGTATATGCAACTTTTCTTCTAAGGTGTTTATGAAAACACCCAACTCATTACTTTAGAATTCAGACCTGCAATCTAGCAAGGATTGCTGAGTGTAAGAATAAAGGGGAAAACAAATAAACATGCACACCATGCTAGTTAAACTTTCATTTGTAGAAAGAGAAAATTACCACCTCACAATTAAGTGCTACCTTATGTCTGTCTAAGACGTGAGATCCCAGGAATGTACACTAAGGTTTGTGGTTTTAACAATAAGAACCTAGAAAAAAGTTCAAAGTGTGCAAGTACCTTTGCAAGACAGTGTTGTTTACATCTCATAGAGTTTATTACACAGTAGAAAAAATTGTGGTACTACATTTTTCTTTATCTATGTGAATCCACATTTTTGAAGCCTGATGGTTGTTAAAACCTTACTAGAAACTTTACTCTGAGAAATAATGACTGACTACTTCATGTTAATCTAAAAGGTGGCATTCAGTTAAAAATCCTCTTAGAGCAGGAGGAGATGTATTGGAGCAGAGATTGTGGATAAAGTGATGGACTACTCCAAAAATAATTTCTGACCTTAAATTGATCATCTAAGTAAAAGAATATGAGCATTTTTAAAGATCTTACTTGCTTAAACAGAGTGTTTAAGAGTTTTATCAGCAACATCTGTCTGCTACATTTTGCTGATACACGTTCAGCCATGCATGCGGGCCAAATGCTCTGCAAATGTTTATAAAAATGATACACATCTTTTCTTAGCAGTTCACATTCAGCGCTCCACTCGTGTTGTCTGCAGCCATGTGTCAAATGTTGGCTGAAAGCCAGCTTTAATGAACTCCGAAAGAGTTCAGAAGTGTCTCCCCGGCCCAGAATAAACACAGACAGGAGTAAAGAAAAAACTGTTTGAGGCTCCTCCTCTGTGTATTTTTATAAAACCATAAAGAACAGAACGCAGAGGAGTGCATAAGTCAGCCATTATTCCCTAGCAGCCTTCAAATTGGCCAGACTCCCAAAGAGTTTTCTGACTCTCCTCTTATCCATCTCAATCTGCCAAACTTCTGTTGCGCTATGTTATAACTATAGTATCTTTTTTCAAAATTTAAGTAAATAATAATAAAATAATCATAAATACAGTAATACTAGTAACCACTTGTGACCAAAAACTTTTTTTTTGTTATAATTGTAATAACATAAATACCATTTAAATTTAATAAAGCCACTCAGTACTAGAACTTCCAGTTCTTAATTACAAAGGATATTCTTTCAAGGACCAGAATGTTCACATTTTGGATAAAGAAGACAGGTGGTTTGAAAGGGTTGTAAAGGATGCTGTATACGTTAAGAGAGAAAAGCCAACCTTTAAACAGAGTGGGTGGAATCAGGTTTCAGCACTCAAAAATCTACAACACAGCCATGGTTGATTCCTTCCTGCTATCATCTCACCTCAACCCTCAACCCATGCAGTGGACCAAAACATCTCACCTGGGCAGCCAGGCCTACAATTGCCCCTAATGACCCTCCTTTCAGAGTCCTAGACCAGTATCGGGCATTGCAGGCTAACAAAGAACCCAAACATCTGCCCATTCCTAAGGGGCCTACGTATACGTTCTTCTGGTTCACTTTCAATGTTTTCTAAGCCAAAACAAGTTTTTTGGCTGCTCTATAAAGCTTCGAAATTAATTTTCTGACATTTAGAATTGAAAAAAGCATCCTGGATGGGAAGCAAAAACTCTTCAAACTTAGAAACAAAGACTAGTGGATTGCGTTTTTAACTTTTTAGGAATGATTAGGACCTGGATGACTGAGAATCTTCATTTACTGAGCATCTTAATTGTAAAACTTTGATAGTAGCATCCATTTTATACTGTGCTGACCAGTATGAAGAGCTGTCTTTTTTTTTTCTCGTCTTTGTCAGAAACACAAGAGGCCACGAGGGCAAAAAGAAGCCAAATAAACCATTAGCATCATGCTTTACACCCCAAGATCGTGTTGCTTTTAACCTGGTAGATATTGTTTTTTAAGGAATATAGACATTAATAAAATTTTATATTCATTTATTTATTTTTATAAATCACGATCAGCTAGCACATAGATAAAGTGAAATACCACATGCCTAACATGCTCAGTACCAGAAATCTTCACATTATTTATTGTATAATCAGTATTTCTACCTGCATTATCAAATTTATCTTACATGATGATCTACAAACACTGGGTCTTTTTTGAGATGCCTCGCTGGTGTTTTATGAATCTTGCAAGAAGTGTTTTGTTCGTCCATCTAGAGCTTTGCTTAGAAAATAATAAGAATTCTGCGATGCAAAGTAACATTTAGAAGACTATGTATTATTTTTAAATCAGTACTACACCTCAAAGTATCTCAAGGTAATTTAGAGAGACAAACTAATAATACCCAGAGCAAAACGATCTGTGTACCTGGAGAACCTGCAAACCTGTTCATTTGTTTTATTTGCTACAAGTTAATAGTGCTTAAAACATGCAGCTATAAAACTGTCCTACATTTTTTTGGTGTTTACTTTGGCTAAATGCAATCTGTTGAATGACTATAAAACATCTCCAAGAATATGTAACATTTTAAATCATCTGGTTTGATTCAATTACATTTAAACGGGCCATAGCAACAGATAATATCATGGTACTCCTTTTAGAAAACATACATTTGTGGTGTTCCGCAAATGTCCATACTTTGCTCCCCTGTTTTTAAAATGCCGTATATATGTATGACCTTAATAAAATGACACGTCCCATGTGAATCCTGTTTAATATAGATTTTTGTTGAATATTTTGAAGTAGAAATGAATCTTAAGAGTTTTTGTGTCTCATTTGCTGCAGGTGACCTACCTGGGCAAGATGACAATCTCTGGGACTCAGTTCCTGTCAGGCTGTACGGAGTCGGCCGTAGTGAGTCTGGTAGAACGTCGCGCCTCTGCCCAGCAGCAGGGCACCCTCGCCTTGGGCAAATCCATGCTGGAAATCCGACCATTCCAGGTCCGCCTCCACCACCTGGATGAGTGCAGCGAAGGCTCTATAACCGTGGACACCTACCAGGTGGCACGCATCGCCTACTGCACAGCTGACCACAGCGTGAGACCCAACGTCTTTGCCTGGATCTACCGGGAGATCAACGACGACCTGTCCTTTCAGATGGACTGCCACGCCGTGGAGTGTGAGAGCAAGCTGGAGGCCAAGAAGCTGGCGCACTCCATGATGGAGGCTTTCCGCAAGACTTTCCAAAGCATGAGTAGCGAGGGGCGCATTCACAAGAGCGGCTCTACAGACGACTTTGCGGAGGACTCGTCCACACCTGACGATTCGACCCCAGATGATGGTTGAAGTCTAAGGCATTCACGTTCCTGATCTCTGTTCTAACAAATTGAGGGGGGACTGGGTGAACAGAATAACTGCTCTTATTCATTTCCCCCTGCTGTCTCTTTCTGTTATGAAACTGTTAAAAAAAGATATATATACATATATATATCCACTGTATGAACCAACATGCCCATGATGATGAAGTAGCCTATATACTGAGTGAAGGAAAGATTCATCAAACAGATTTGATAAAGAGATTTTAGACATTAAAGTACTGAGTGATCCTCTGGAGAGTTTGAAGCCCCGCTGTAATAACCCACAAATACGGTACTCATTTCCCTTTCAGCTCATGTTATTCTGCTCCTTTCAAAGACTGTCTGGTGCTTTTTTTGAAAATTTCTAAAACAAATGTTTATCCTGTGCCATACTAACCATTTCTTCACTTCTTGCCATGTAGGGACCAAACACAAGTATGCAGGTTGCCTATAAGAGGTTCAAGCCCAGATTCTAGGACTGTTGATTTTATTTTTTTAGCCGTTATATAAATCTGTTAAAATGTGTTAGCATTTATAACAGCAATATGTTGGGAGCTTTTACTAAGTATATCTTATGTGATCCCACAAAATGACTGCTAAGCATAAATGAGAAAGTTAAAACTTATGTCTCCATAATTTTTTGGTACTGAAACATTCAGAGTATCTGCAGGACTTAATGATAAATGGGTTTAGAAGTTCTCACTGGGCTGGAGCTCGAGCCTCTCTGAGACACTTTAATCGTCTACGTCTGACGTTTGTTTTATGTAAACCAAAATCCAGGCTGAATTTTGCCTGTCAGATTATGTGCCTCACTTTCCCGTTGCATCACAGAGCGTTTTTGCTTTCATGTTTTTTTTTTTTTTCATTGTACGTACAGTGGGTGTAAATGCTTATTTCTGTTCTGTACCTATATACATGAAAATATAAAGCATCTGGGTGTGAGAGAGTAGAAAGACCTGATGAATAAGGGTATACTATAGTGGGAGGGTTAAGATTTTTCACAGTCAGACATGGAACTGTGACCATTTGACAGAGATCTTATGTTTTTTCTTTATTTTATACAATATCAGGCTGAATGAACCTTAAACTGCAGCCATCCAAGGGAACACCTTATGAGTCCTTGCCACTGCCAAATGTCCATCATACTGTGAGCTGATCACATAAAGCCCGGTCACTTCAGGTTCAACAAATGGCCTCCATGTTATCATGACATCTTTAGGAGGGTGACAGTAGATGAGATGACCATCTCTGCTGCTCTAGATTTCCACTCCCAGACTGTGGCACTTTCTTCTTTGACGGGATGGACCAAATGCCATCAAGTCACATGACTTTAATCAGCACTTGCAGGGCCTTATAAAAGCATTATAAGCCCTTAACATATACTTTATGGTATATTATTGGGATTTTTTAGACCTTGATAAGGTAGTGCATATTTGTGAGGTCAGAAAAGGTATTTTTAGTTTCCAAAACATCTTCATATAAGATGCTGAAAAGTGAAGCTTGTGTTTTTATCCCCCAGTCAATACTATATATGACCATACTATAGGTGCTGTTTTGAATGGAGGCAACATTTTCAGTACTCTCTAAGGAGAGCACTTTCTTACAAATGTTAAAGTGGACTTCCTATGGTTGTCTTACAAGAATTAAGGCTTTCGGACATTCCAAAAAGTCTAGATTTGTTGCATTTGCACCTAATTTTTTGGTCTATAGATCCTCCCAGCTGTTTTTATTATATTTGTGACTTTTTATCTTTGGAATATTAAAAATAACAGCACTCAGCAAAATACAGATAAATACAATTTTACAAATCCCTAGTTATACTGACATTAATTTACACACATATTTCTCAATCAGAGGACTTCTGAAGTCAGTTGCTTGCAGTGGGTTTAATTTGATGTTTTAGAGGAAAGGGAGGGGAAACAAATGCATGCAGCGCTTTTCAATTACATGCAAAGAAAACCTGAAAATTTTTTTCTTTTTTTTTTATTCTCACTAACATTGCACAAAAATTCCAATAAAGTATTTTGAGGTTTATGTTTCACAAAATGTGAAAACAAATAATCAGACATATTAATACTTTGGGAAGTTATTATACCCATAGACAAACCTTGATACAAAAATGCATACTGTATGTACACAATGTATTTGAAACTTGCTCAGTAAGCTTATGTAAATACAAATGTATCACTTTCCAAATATTACAACATAAATGGTGATAGCTATTTTAAATAAAAAAATGAATTTTTATATGCTGAAATAGTGTAATGAAGCTGAACTGTGAAGAAGCGGAGGGGCTGATTAGGTGGAAGAGTGTGTGTGTTTGAATTCACTATGGTGGGAAGTGAGGGGAGTGATTGTAAAGCTGTAAAGTTTACTGTGCCATGTCTGCCTTACAGCTCAGACTCGCTTTAAATGTTAAGGAGGAAAAAAAATAAGCATTGTTACCATAACTGTTTTCTATATGGTGTGTGTGCAAAGATCAAAAACACAGTTGCATATAAAGCATTTACCAAGATCCCAAGATAGTGTGGTCTGTTTTGTTTCCACCACACAGTCGTCTTTCTTCATTTATTCCCTCAGAGTGAAAACCAGATCTGGGCTAAAAGAGGTTAGTTTTTTTTATTATTCTGTAAACTCTGCTGGATTTAAAATGACTGGATTCCCTGCTGCGGCAGCGTGTGGGAGGATAAACAGCAGGCATGCTCCATTTCAGAGCAAACAGAACAGCTCAGACACATGATGTTCTAACAAGGTGCCTGCACAGATCTAAAGCCTATCCTCACTGTCCGCTCATCCACATACTTATGTTACTTTTTTTTTGTCTTCTACCTCTAAGCCACCATGCTGGCATTTCTAAAGTATGCGGAGCAGTGACCAGGGTTTTCCCACTTCTGGTATAGTGATTGATTTTTTTTTTTTTTTTTACCGTTTGTTCACATAGCCAAGAAAAAAACTCAGAAACATGATGGTGTTTCCAAATGTCTCAGTTTTGATGACAGTTTTACTGCCATCATTTCTAACATTCCTTTTTTGTGTGTGTTTTGCTCTGCCAGTTTTCTCTAAGTGCCCACATTTGTGGCATGATAGCTGGTTCCTCTCTGCTTAAGTAGTAGGAAATATTTTGGCAGCCTGAGAGCTGAAAAGAATTAGATGCAAAATGGATGCTGAGAAGGATGCTAATGGGCCTTGAAAGAAAATACTGCCCCCTTCTGGCAAGCAGATATACTGATTCCACTTTTAAAGCTTTAGTTTTTTCATCTTGTAGGAGGATTATGTCCTTTCCAGCAAACTGTACACAAGCTCCACTGTTTATGCCTCTTTGTTCCTGTTGAGTGTATATGTCTTGCAGTTTTGCTCGACCATGGCCTGGTGTTTAGCTGACCTACTTCCAACGGAGCTGCATTGGAGAGGGGTCCTGTGGGGGCCCAGGAAAGAGGCCACCCCCGGCCTGTTGCTTGTGCTCCACTGAGGCTGGAGCCAACCACAGTTCACAATGCTGCTCTGTTACCCCTCCAGTTGGCTGCTCTTCCTTCTCTGAGTTTCACAGTTCCCTGTCTATCCCCCTGCCAAGGGCCAACACACTCGAGGTCAGTTTGGGAAACGAAAGGTGCCAATATGGCTTCTGATCAGACTTCTTTGAGTTTCTGTCTTGGCCTCCTTCATTCAGCTGGGCCCCTCGGAGTAAAAGTGAGGGGAAGTACTGTAAACATATGTGTGAAGTGAACCGCTGCCTATACGCATTCTTTCTGCCTGTGGTTCGCCTGCAGGGACAAGAATTTTATTGCAAGAGATGTAACCTTTTAGCTCTTAGTAAAATATTAAGGCAAAAATTATAAACTGTAGTTGTATCATTTTTGTTTATCATTTATTTTTTTACTTTTTATTAGTTTTGAGGAAGATGCAAGTTTTCAAAATGAAACCAAGAGGTTTTATTCAGTCAGATTTTTTATGGTATTAAGGCAGCAAGAAAAAGCTTCAGTTTCAAAATTATATTGCAAAACTGAATTACAAAGAAATCCATCTTAATAAATTAAGATTATTATTATTTTATATTTATTTTACAAATACTTTGCTTTAATAGTAGAACATTTTTGCAAACAGAGTAACAACATATTTCTAGTGCAGAAATGTTATGGTCTACATGATCAAAGAGCCATCTGTTGTCCAGCACAGTAACAAACACACTCTTCATGTCAGTGATGTTAAAACCCTGGGTTTTCACAGGCCATTTTTCAAGTATATTGAGGAAAATCTTTGAAGGGAAAGGGAATCTAATAATAGGGATATGAGGACTTTAGGGAAAGCCCATTCAGGTGTGTGTGTTCATATATATATATATGAAGACAATAGTTTCACTAACTCTGAAAGTTCAACTGGATCAAAGCAGTCTAAATCCCGGTTCAGATTCTGTGGCTACCTCAGATACTATGGCTGCTGCCTCACCTTCAAGAAATAAAGCAATAGTATTTAGAGGGGTGCTAATGGTCTTATTTTTAATAGAATCAATCTTATTTAAAAGATATCTTTATTAAATATTAAGGAATTATTTTTATTTTCCTCCATTAATGAGGAGAAATATGCTGCTCTTGCTTTACAAAGGGTCCTCTTATACAGCAGTAAACAATTTTTCCAGACTAGGTAGGATTCCTGTAGTGCCATTTTCTATCAAGTTTCCTAGCACTTTGCTTCAAAGTGCGCAGCTCTGCATTAAACCAGGGAGCTAGATTTCTGTTTTTAACGTTTTTCTTTTTGTCTAAGGCAGTACGCATAGAATTAGCAACCCTACCAAGAAAATCATCAACCTGTGAAGGGCAATAAGCTTAACTTTTGCACTTTGCAGCACTGCTCAGCGACATTGAGGAGAGAGAAAGGGAAATAGATTCTTTAAAATTTATAACTGCACTATCTGATAATGATCTGCTAAAGTGAAACCTTGTTTTGGGGGATGAGATCTCTGATAAAGTAATCCTGAAATGTGACTAAAAGTGGTCAGAGAGGACAGGGTTGTGAGGAAATACTTCAATGCCCTGAGTTAGTAGTCATAATACTTTTTTTGTGTCTAAAATTGCTCACATTCGATGTTGGCTTCACAGCTGAGCAGCATCATTGTCTTTGGTACAAGAGAATGATTATAGATGGCCATGTTGATGATTCTGGACAGTCTGCTGTTGTCCTTTGCTCCAGCCGTGCATAACAAGTTCATATGTTAAAAGGCTAAATACTTTGAAAAGGATTCTTGGATACAGTTTATGAGCACTGCCTGAATCCCTGTTAACTGTTTTTATAGAGATTCCTTATTGTACTCATCATCATCACTAAACAATTTCACTGCTAGAGGCTGGTGACCATGTTATCATTGATGAGAAAATCTTATTCGATTAGATATTCAATTTTGTCAGATTTAGTAGTGGGGTAGACAGCGTGGAGCCCAATGAATTAAGATTAGCCCTGCCAATTCTGCTCTCCCCCCTCAGCTTCACTATATTGCTTAGTTTTGGCAACTTGCCATGAATCTCAAAGCACATTAAGATAAATATGTCCAAATTAATGCAAATAAAGTTTACCAAGAGGTGGGTTGAATTTGTTTGAAGGTACTTTTTTAGTTTGGACCATATAAGCTGACTCTTCGATAAATGGAAACAGTATTTTGCCTGAAGTCCAAGCATATCGATGAAATGATTCAACAGAAAGTATTACCAGAAAACCTGAGAAAAAATACATAGAAATACCCAGAAATATCTCCCCCAGACTGATGGAAAAAAAAAATCTCAGTCAGACATACAAGTATTTTCTGTTATTGTGTCCAGATCCCCCCTCCTTACCCCTCCTGGTGGATGTCTCTCTGAGGTATTTGTGAGATTTAAGATTCCTGCCATGATAAAATATGTGCTGGAACCAACAAGAGAGGTGCCGTTGCCTACTTATTACAACCTGAGACACTCTGTCAACTGAAGCCCAAAGCACTCGCTGTCTGAAAAGCAAAAACAAAAATGTCCCAGAGACAAAATGCTGCCCTGAAACCCTCGGGGAAAGGAAATGTCTGGTCTGAGATCCATGAAGAGCAAGTCTGAGCAACAGATGAAAGTCTGAAAGAGGGATAACCCCCTACCTCCCATCCTTAAAAAGAAGAAAACTGAAGAAATGTCAGTTAGTTTGTCTGCAAATCCTTTGTATTGTATTTGAATCAAAAATATTTTGTGTCATTATGTAATGAAATGTTGCAGAGACTCCAGGCACAGAGAGTAGAAATGATAAGCAGACAAAATTAAAAACATCTGTAAAAATACAGTTATTGGAAAAAAAAAAAGGAAAAGACAATTTGTGTGTTTTTCTTTTCCCTTTCATTTTTTTTTACATTCTGTAGTGAAAAGCCTTCATAACAAGAAATTAGGAAAGAAAAGGGTAATTGATTTTTTTTTCATGACTGTATGAAAGAACCTTGGAAGAAAAACATGTTTTTACTGAAAGGAAGTATGTAGAGTGCATATAAAGTGCACCTAGTGGAAGTCTAGTCTATCCAATTAAATGCCATGTCAATGTCAGCAGTAGTGGTCTTGCTTTACGCACAATGTGGAGGAAGTATTATTGCAAAATATCCTACATGTGGGGACTTAATAATAATAATAATAATACATTTTATTTAGCAGCGCCTTTCTTGACACTCAAGGTCACTTTACAAATAATACAGGAACATATGGGGACTTTCAACTGGTCCGCATATGGTAAAGGTCTGTTTTTTGAGTTGGGGTTAGGATTAGGACTAAGGTGTTAAATTAGTTTAGGTTAGGGTTAAAGTATATGTTTGTAATAGTTGCGGTTAGGTGATCGGTCTGGGTTAGGCCATACTGTATACAATTAATGCAAGTCAATGAAATGTCCCTATATGTCATGAAAACAAAGCTGTGTGTTTGCATGTGTGTGAAGATGAAAGCCTGTTGGGTGGGGGTGAGGGTGTACCAGTTTATGCTGCACTGAAACTAGTCCAAACTAGTGCAGCATAACCAGAGTCAATATCTGATAAATGGGATCCCATATTCCCATGGGCTGTCCTCACCACCTGGGCTTTCTCCTGTCCATGCACAGTCCCCATATCACACTGACATGCTAAGACACAGGATGCATTCAGATCAGAGGCTGGTCCTTTACAGCTTATGAGCAGGAAGAGCAATCTTTGGCCTTCTCCAGCAGCTGGAAAGTGTTCTCAGTTCATTAGAGCTCATATTCCGCTGCATCCACACATGCAGAGAGGATCCACTTCAGTCTTCCTGGACCTCCTCTAGTCCAGTGACTTCCTCCGTCTTACTGGTGTTCAGGATGAGGTTATTCTTGGAGCAGCGCTATGTCAACTTTGGCCTCTTCATTGTCTGATATGATCACTGCTGTAGAAGTGTTGTTATTTTTGGGCACAGGAACAATGATGCAAGATTTCTTACAAAGAGAGACCATGAAGAAGAAGCAGAGACTTGTTGAAGGTCTTCAGAAAAATCTTAATCTCTAATTGCTCACCAAATGGATA